TATCTGAAAGAGTCTCAAATAAAAATCTACGAATTTTTTTCTTAAAGATTGGTTTAGATAAATCTCTCCAGTCTGGAGAAATTTGATTCCATAATATCTCTCCAGTTCTCGAAAAAGAGCGTTTGAAAATTTCCGACTTAACTTCTTTCCGAAGATAATTCCCTTTTGCAGCATGCCTTGTGTTGTACCCATTTGACCTAGTGAAAAGTGCTCTGATAGGCAAAGGAGCTAATTTTTTCCAAATATCATGCATGGTATTCACAATCGCGTCAAAATAGATCATATTCACAAATAAAATCTTTGATTGAATGAAAAGAGGAATAGCATGAGCATCACTGGGCGTAAAATAAATCAGTCGAAGAGCAAAACAACCCAAAGAGATGACGATTACCATTTATAATGTGGTTTCCGGTTATGTGAGATTTGTGAGGACCACCTGAAAACGTAGTATACGATTTCCAGCCAAAATTTCTAAACAGTTTTTGCCCCGTTTGCTTTCCCACCGAAATTTCGGGAGTTTTGATTAAATGGCAAAAACCCAATACCTACGGTCTCAATTTGAAGTCATCTAATAGGAACCAGGCAGTTTAAGAGCTCGGTCAAATAGAGGGACAGCGATTACACGACTTGAATTAACATTATTATTTGAAGTTTTTTCATGTGACTAGTTTCGAGTAGCTATGGTAAACGTCATAGGAAATGAAAGTTAAGAGAAGCATTTTAAAATCAAAGCAACTGTGGGAAAATTGGGACGGAAAATGAGCAAACACGTGAAATCATAACCATAATAGCTACAGAATAAGTGCCAGCACTTCCGTCTCCCCTTTCAATGTTGGAGAGTGAAATCAAACCCGTGTCAGAGGAAAAGTGTTTTATCAGCATTACACAGGGGTGAGAAGAGACAAAATGGGTAGAGGATAAAGTTTTCCAACACATGAGACCAAGATTGTAGGGAGCCTGATGTCCAAAGATATACAGGCTATTGAAAAAAGCTTCAGTAAAAACCCGCATATAAGAACCTAAAATTTAAGAACCTGTTAGGCTGAAATTTCCCTTTTAAGCACCCTTCACACAAGAACGATTCTAGACTAAAATCTAAATACAGGTTCTTATTTTCAAAATATAGAGTTTTTTCAAATATAATACAGTACATCACATGCGTTCCAAAAAAAGGTAACAAATACTAGCCAGAGCATTGGCAGTGGTATAGGACCACAATACTGTACTCTGAATGATTCAATATAAAGGTTACACCCATGAGTACATGTTAAAAATAAATTAATAGCCTGATTAAGAACCTGGGTAGCCTAGGCTAGCCTTTCACAGTAAACACGATTTATATAAGAACCTATGAAGGCTAACTTGAAAAAACCTAGGTTCTACTGTATTTACTTTTTTGATAAAAAAAAGAATAAATAGAATAGGCCATTTTCGATATATTAAAATTCTAACATGGCTCCGAGGTTTGGGGGAATAAAACAAAAGAAATTAATTATTCATCACTTAACCTCGATGTGATTCCTTTTGTTTTATTCCCCCAAGCCACGGAGCCAAGTTAGAATTTCAAAATATCGAAAGTGGTCTATTTTGATAAAATTGTAAGCTACTTTTAACATACACGTCAGATCGAGAGGCATCATTTTCTGATTATTTTGATTAGCCAGATTTCGTTCTTACATAGGTGGGCAAAAGACCATTGACTTAGCCACATTCTTTCTATACCAACCTTAGCCATCACATTGTGTCGTAATTCAAACTCCATTGACTAAAATTATGTCTTACTCACTTCTATAAATATATTCCTTCGATCTGTTTGGTAGTAACACCTTTTTATTATTGTCATGATACCGAAATCTCCCCTATTAATGACATGACGACTAATCCTATCTCTAGAGATCAAGTAACTGTTGTGATGATCTGTCTAAAGGATGGAAAGAGTCTTCGTCCAAACGAGGTATATCTATTTACGTCTTTCTTTGACATGTACGCGAATTGCCTTCTCTTAGAAGTGCAGGGGAGCAAAAATGACTCAAAAGCTCCCAAAGGCTGTACCTCAGGCTTATTTTCTATTGACATATTTTCCTAAACAAGAAATATGATAGCTGTGCCTGAAACTTTGTCTCAGTTCAGACAAGAAAGCCTGTATTGTATGCTTCACCTTTGCATATCAACTCAAATTAAGGGAACGTTTAAGAGCCCAGGATATTGTTAGTGTAGAATATATAGTGCATGGGTTCAGGTAGAACTGTTTGTTAAGGATTAATATGATCTCTCTGGTACCCATGGGTAACAGAGGCGTCTTCAGAAGCGTATGTCGATATCATTATTATAGACGGTAAAAGTCAATAGAGTACTTCTTCGTCGTTTATTTTATGTTGATTTTTTTTCGAGGCTTGCAGGATGCTCTTGAAAAGATAAAACTAATAAAAGAACAGCTTATAATCAGGCTTACAATTGTGTAATGGTGTTTTTAGGTTTTTGCAGACAAGTTTATGCGTCGTGAAATACTTGCCATTGTCGTTCACTGTACCTTTAAGGATGATGGGTGTATCTGGAAAGGAGAAGTGAGACATTTGGAGGTAACTTATATAGAGGGCCCTTTGTTGTAAATTAATTTCGCCGGAATTCGCCCGTGCGAATGAACCGTAGATAGCGCACGGGCGCCTTCGAAATTATTAGGCTTTTGTACATTATGCTTTTATTTCCCCACTAAAATGTTCCACCTTAATGCTCCATTTTTCCCACTAAAATGCTCGGTCTCCTGCCAAAAAGTCACTAAAATTCTCGGTTAATGCTCACACATAGGAGTTTTTAAATTTTAATAATTTTAACGTTTTGACACAATTAAAGCTCGGGGTGCTTAAAAAATCGTTTACGGAGTATAACTCAACGTATGTAATAATTTTTATACACCAAAAGATAATTCTGTAAATGATCTTTTAATTTGATTTGACTACCGCTGACCTCTCCTCAGTTTCCACTCGTCTGTTTTAGGGCGGCGTTTGAAATTTTTTCAATTTCAGGTTAAGACTTCATTTTCTTCAAAAAAAAAAATTTGATATCTATTTTCTGTACGTGGAAAAAAGTTAATTTTCCGGGAAAATTCCACTAAAGTGATCAAATAATGCTTAATGCTTTTGCCTCACTAAAATGCTCGAAAAAATGCTAGCATAATGTACAAAAGCCTAGTAATTATGTAAATTTTGTTTGTTCACAAGTATAAAAATTTCGTATTCATATTTTTTAAGCTTATGGTTTGTAAAATTGATGACGACTAAACCGTCTCAAGTTTGTGGTTGGAGTCGTTCTTACTTCTTGAGACGGCCTTTGATGTTATGTTAAGCACGAGAAACAGTGGTTGATTACATTTCCAAACACCGAGGAGAATTGAAAATACGACGTGCAGCGTAGGAGTTAAAAAGAATGCGATGAAGCTTTTTCTTTAGTGTTAGAGATAATCGCAAATTACTTGACCAATTTTATCGGCTGTACCTCTGCAGTGCGGGCTTGAGTTTTAAATGTTTTCCTATCTTGGAGTGGAAGATATAATAAAAATTCCAATAAACCTCTTTTAGGTCTCCATATCTGCATCGTTAAACAAAGTTCCTCGTTTTCCCCTTGACTTTTTGCACCGCGCTTGAGCCATAAATTTTCCGGAAAAACTCAGGTTCTCTGTCTTACAATACAGACGTCGCATTGAAGTAGTATCTGAGCGGTATAGAGTATCGAATTTTAACTGATTTACCAAATTTTATGCAGAATCACACCAACAGTTGCGAGTTCCTGAAAATACCTTGCGTGCATCCTGAGTGTGGCGTCCTGGTGAAAAAAGCTGATCTAACTCGTCACTTGGAAAGTGAATGCTTGTATCGACTGGAGAAGTGCGACCTTTGCCAGAGAAAAATAGTGTTATCGAGGATGAAGGTACGTGAGACCATATACTACTTTAAATACGTGGCTGCTGTGGCGGCCTAACGATTAGCACCGCGCACTGGACTCCAGATAGAGCGATCTGGGTTCGAACCCTGGCCGGGGACACGGTGTTGAGTTCTTGTCAGGGCAGTGGGCACTTCTCAGTGGGTCAGTCATCACATCATTAAATGAGAATGTTAAATTTTTTTTATAAATGATAGCAAACAAGACGGAATCATTAGCAGTAGCAAGATTACGATGGATTACCGGGAAATGACCCCCCCCCCGGGAAGGGATTCTCATATAAAAAGAACAGGAGTGCTGGTCGTACCTTTCACAATTTAGGGGTTGAAGAGGCGGATTTGGTACCTGTTAGGGAGTTCAGCCTCAAAAGGTCCTACAGCGGGAACCTTCGCGGTACCTTTTAGGGTATCGAGACGAAAAAAGTCAGTGTCAGTTTTTTTGTTGTCTTAGAGGTGGTACCTCTTAGGTGGGGGGGGGGGGGGGG